AACAATTAACTATATTGCCATGTAAAATGTCACTACCACTTGTGATGACATATTGTTTAAGTCTTAAATATTTTTGTGGGTAGTGTTCAGTGGTTGCTGTTTGGCAGTTGTTGGTCAGTGGTCACCAATCTTCTACTAATTGGATCCCAGTAGGGCTCTTATCAATTATTCAAAAATACTTAACAAAGTTTTTTAGAATTATTTCTAATACTTTCAATGTCACAAAGTGTTTATAGATGTGCTTTGTTATCAAATGTGCTTAATGGATATACATTACTTGTTTGTACATAGCTACCACAATAATTATAAATTATTACTGGGCCTCTAGGAAGACCAGTTTTGTACTGATAGAGCTACTCAGAATAAATATAGTTTTCAAATCAAATCAAATAAGATAAGCATTTTAATAAAAGAAATGAAGCAAAATGTGAACTTTTTCTATCAATTGCATTTTCTTGTATATAGATAAAGATATTTCATTGTAAGTTAAAGATCTGTTACATCTTTTCCAGCAACATAAAATGTAAAAATCAAAATATTTGCTCAATCTACAATTGTGCTATTGAACAGTTTCTAACAAGATTTCGAACTTTGACACTGATATAATAAAATATGCTGAATCAGCACTTTTGAGCCTGAACTGTCATCTGCAGGCAATAAAATACAATGCAACATAGTAATTTCATCAATGCTGATACAACTAATGCACAAAATATAACTAGTATGACAGTATGCCTTAATTTGACATTGATGTCTACTTACCCCCCCCCCCCCCCTCCATAACTACAGGCCAGATATTTTGTTATTTTTTTCCTTATCTAGTAAATCCTGTATGAACTCAAAAATGTTTACATGTATTGAAGCATAAATCAAATTTGTCCTAGATTTTATTTCAGTTCTAGAACCATCTTGGAAGAGAAGATATACAATAAAATGTAATTAACATAGAACTTAAAGTGTGTCTATATTTGGACATCAAAGGGTTAAAACCATACTTTTCTTTAGGCAGACATCATTAAAATAACTTATAAGCCTAAAATATAACATATTTAGGTTGTGGCAACATAAGATTCCCCAAAATTAAGGAGGATTATTTTATTATAATTTTTTGAAATTTTACCCCTCTTAAAATTATGGGTAGGGGGTACAAAATCAATTTTCTCCCCAAAAACAGCTCTAGAACTTTGTACATGCGGATAAAATTGTTTTAAATGGTTCACAGATCCACTAAAATAAAATTCACGAATTGTTCCATCCAAAATCATAAGGGCCATTTTTTGTAATGAATTCCGTGTACTAATTAGGGGATTAGAAGAGTTTATTTTTTATTTAGGTATGCAAGCTACGTATATCAATATAAGGCCTTCATTCATGTAGTTGTGTGCATGTAATCAGCATGCCCTTCAATATTATGTAAACCAGGCTATTCAAGTACTGTATAATGTACACTATTTATGACAATACAATTCCCTGGGAAACAAAACACAAATACTTTTTATATGTTCAAAATGAGCCATTTGATTAATGCAAACACTAAATAGCTTCATAAATAACATCTACAAAGTATATCTAATAGTAATTTTAAATTTCAATGGTGAAACTTCCCTGGTTACGATTATATGGGAAATCATCACGAGACGAAGATCGTTCGCCTTCCTGGTTTACCTCTGAATCGTGTACCTGGTAATCTCTTTATATAGTTTAGCGAGAGCGGTGCGCCTGCGCAGTTTTAAACTTTGGCGCACACTTTAAAGTCAACTTTCTCATATTTGTCTCTCACTACATAGTAAGCATTGTTATATGATAGTCTCCAACTTCTTTTGTGACGGCAGTCGGCACCCATCGTTTGGCATCTGTAACAAATGCCAGGACACCAACCGCAGTCACGCAAAAAAATTGGAGACTATAGCAACATGTCTCCATTAGTGGTGCGTGGTGACATAAAAATGTTGAATTTGCCTTTATCAAAATAAGATTTATTTTTGTAAAGTTGATTTTTGTCCAAAAAACTCCCAATTCTAACCCAAAATATTTTTTATAATATTTTCCTGATAAATCTCGATATCAATTTAGGAGTCGATAACTAATTGATAAAAGTGACTTTCCACTGATTTTCCACACCTTAACGAAAATTGAACCAAAGGCCAACATCTTTATTTTTTATTTTCATATTATCAGATATAAATTATATTTCTGCAACAATAATTAGCAATGTCAGTAGGTAAATACGTTCCTGCAGCAAGCTCAGCTACATGTATCTTTGTTACACTGACATACATGTACAGCTTATTCTAATTGTACAGCTTATTTGAATTGTATGACTACATGTATCTTTGTTACATTGACATACATGTACAGCTTATTCTAATTGTACAGCTTATTTGAATTGTATGACTACATGTATCTTTGTTACATTGACATACATGTACAGCTTATTCTAATTGTACAGCTTATTTGAATTGTACAGCTTATGACTACATGTATTTTGGAATTCAATGATAATTTATAGTCAATATGGTAATTCATATTACTCTAACATCAAGTCCACTCATTATCTTGAGTAGTTGCGACTTTAAATGCAAAACTAATTTATGATTTACAATAAATTTTATTTAAAATACACATGATATTTAAAAATTACAACTATACATGGCGATATATGTGGGTGGTAATTTTTATTTAAATATACAGGGTGACAAAAAAATGCCACCTACATAATTTTGCATAACTTTTTGTCTGCATGAAGTTAGAGCACATCTTGTAACGCTCATAAGTGCAAGTAATTAAGCTTGTCATCTGGGACTTCTCGTGGAGTTGCTCCATGGAGTCTCAGTTTAATGTGCTAATGAACAAGTCAGAATTAAAACAGACAAAAAAGTTATCTAACATTATGTGGGTGGCATTGTTTGTGTCACCCTGTACAGGACAATATGGAGCAGCATTGGTGGAATGGTTTTTACTTTTTAATGATTTCATGAGTTGTAGACAGAATATTCAAGACATTTTTGCCACAGACAAGTGTCAGCATCACATGTTTTCGAAAATCTGAGGTTTGCAAAGGAAAGGTTCATGAGATGCCAGATAGATCAAACTAATTCCAAACTATAGTATAAAAATGGAACCGTTTACAGTGCAGATGTTGAATTTTAAATACGTACCCTGTGACATCGACTAACTCCCTAAAATAGATGAATAACTGCTAACATATTTGGCGATACAAATGTGCTAAAACCTAACAATTGTCTCTCAAAGCATAAAGACAAAGTGATATTAATATGCACATAAACATCATACACAAATAACATATATATGTATTTTAATTACTCTGATATACTTTACTTTTACTCTTATTTTACTTTTTATGATCTCAATAAAGTCATTACTGTTGACCCTTCATTGACCAATCAGATTCGAGTATTCTAGCTGATGTACATGTATTACATGATGTACTCCTTTGGAAACCAGTAATACATACACTGTATATGGCATATATACTCGTACATTGTTGTATGTGTTGTTAATAGTCTTGCCCCAGGACTGTGTTCCCCCTGTGTACTTCACCTTCCAAACATGTGTTGCGTTGGGAAAGTGAAGAACAAAAAAGGGGGGGGGGGCACAGTCCCGAGGCAAGACTATTTACAACATATACAACACTGTATGAGTATATATGCAACCCCATTTACAAATAAATTAATCATTTAAATTTGTAATAATATTCATTATTATTCACTGTCATATTCTTCACTCTCTGATTGGCCTATATCCTCATGTAACCAGGAAATAAAAAGCCATATTCTACGGCTTTTGAGAGTTAGCCCAGTGTAATCTGAACCAAATACATCATAGAATAAATTATTTAATATATGATTTATATCATTGCTAGAAATTGTGTGTTTTGATTGGGTGATATTGTACATGCCCGTAGCCAGAGGGGGAGCTCCCCCCCTGGCCAGAAATTCTTTCAAAAACATGCAGTTTTTAACCATTCTGAGAATTTTTCACATGATTTTTAGCCAAAATTGTGAAAAAGCACCTCCCCCTGGAAAAAAGCTTCCCCTCCTGATAAAAGCTGGCTACGGGCAAGTTGTACCACGTAACCAAAAATACCAAAGCGTATAAATGATATTGCCAGGTGTATTCCCGCCTCGGAATTCGGACATCTACACTGAACAGAAATAAAAGTTTACTTTACAATGATACTTGTACGTAAATATTGATTAAAATCAATGCCCATAGGTTAAAACAAATATTCTTTATTTTTTTGAAATGCAAAGCGATTGTAGAGAATGTCTAGCAATGATATAATAAAACAAATATTTCATTCTATGTTCCGGCAATGCCTGTTGCACTTTCAATGAATTTAGCAGCATGTATTTCCCTCGCCCTTTGGGCTGCAGGCAATAAATACTGCAAAAATCATTGAAAGATGAACAGTTGCCCTCCAAAGAATTGAATATTTTCTAATTATTTGTATAATATCTGAGACTTGCGAATGCAGTTATAAGATATTTTAAATATCATGTTTCTTGCGATAACTCCATTATTTCCATTTGTGTAAATGTAGTTATCTTATTCATTTATAAACATTCAGTGCACTTCACTTAACCTGTCTTTGTTATAGTCTCCAACTTTATTGTGGCGGCTGGTGTTCAGCGTTCGGTGTCTGTAACAAATGACAGGTTGTGCCATTTTGCATGTTAATGCTTTGCTTGGTGTTTGTTTATCTAAATACATTTTGAAAATACAATGCATGAACATGACAAAATGTCACACTTGACAAAATGTCACACTTGGTCACAACTGTAAGAACAATTGGTTACAGATACCAAACACCAAAACTGAATGCCAAACAGCGAACACCTGTTGCCAAGGAAACCAAGTCATCACAAAGTGGTAGCTGGCCTGTTTTATCCAAGTGTCTAAACAGATACATAAATATATATATATCATAATTAATTACAACATGTAGCACGTCTCTTTAAAAGCATGTTCACATGTTCAAATACTATACATCGATAAAATGTCCATATTCTGGAGAGACAAGCTAGCAAGATTCTTCAAATTGAGTCAGTTTAAAACGTGCGGCAATGTCCATATTTGGTAAAGCTATAGCTAGCAAGTTCCTCAAAATATTGACCACATTGTATCCACTAAATCTTCACATTTCATAGACACCATATCAAATAGTTTATAGTGGTATGTTTGCATGTTTCTTCCATGGGTTTTCTTGTGCCTTTCCTTGTAGCATATCGAGATCTTCACAGATTCTACGACGTGTCAGATTCGGCTCAATGATGTCATCAACAAAACCTGAAAGAAAACATGGGGCGTGTCATTCAGCGTTAAACATGGGGCATGTCATTAAGCTTAAAACATGGGCATGTCATTAAGCTTAAAACATGGGACATGTCATTTAGCTTAATTCATTGGGTGTAACATTTAGCTTAAAACATGGGGCGTGTCATTTAGCGTTAAACATGGGGCGTGTCATTTAGCGTTAAACATGGGGCGTGTCATTTAGCGTTAAACATGGGGCGTGACATTTAGGTTATTGTGAACAGTAAAACTAGCATCGATGATACAATGAGATTTAAAGGAAATATGTAATCTCGATCCTAAGAGACTGAAGTATCAAAACCAAAAACATTACATGTAATAACAAATGCACATACAAGGGGTGATCCAAAAGTCTTGGACGCCCCGCTCTAACTTTGCTATTTTTTAATAAAATTACTTGAAACTTTTAGATAATGAAGATCAACATCAGAACAACTCTGTGTATAAGTTTCACCAGAAAATAAGGTACTCTTCTCAATATTTTTTGATATGGGGACCCTGCCACCCAGACCGGTATTTAAAAACGCAAATCACGTCACAACTGTTAATATGACAAATACTTTAGGTGCACAACCTAACACGACACCAGTCATTTCATGAGAGATTTTTTCGATTTTACAATACGACTCTCATCTACATGTACCATCATCATCTTCACATATTTAGGCCTACTATATATTTTTCAACATTCGTATTTTCCATGAATATGAACATATTTTCGTGCTGCTTTACCCATGAATGGAAGACATTCATGAAACCGCCCTGGCCTTGCTTAGATACAAATGCTCCCGGATTGGCACTTTAAACCTCATCCAATGAGTAAAAAACATTTCCTTTCAACTTTGGGGAAACAAAAATCACACGGGCAATATCTGGACTGTATGGTGCATGTGGTAGCTGCTCAAGTTCAATGATAGTGAAAATATCTTGTTGTATTCTTTGTTTCACATTGATTTTTTACATGCATTTCAGCAGCCATATCGGAGCAAAAGTGATACCAAAATGAGGCTTGCTTGTCTGATGTCATTTTCTTAGAATTTGAAAATTTGAATATACGGCCATTGTCATATGTTACAACACAATTAAAACACAATTAATTGGTTGCCTAGTAAAAGAGAAGTAAACTAACATGGTTTAACATTCAAGAATCAAAGAAAGATAGAGGTCAAGACTTGCGAAACAAGTCAAATAGCAGCATTATTTAAGGCTAAAAGACGCTATGTGCCAATACCATTCCGGGTGGTAGTGTACCTACATAAAATATATTATTTTTCCATGATATTAATACAAAAAGTAGTTACATTGTTGGTCTTTATTATTGGAAAGTTTGAAGTAATTTTATCAAAAACCAACAAAATAAGAGCTGGGCATCCAAGACTTTTGGATCACCCCTCGTACATGTACATGTATTCTAGACCATCATTTTTTGAATATCTAAATTTTTGCACTTTTCTCCAATTCTTTGAAGAGTTAGACCATGACAGAATGGATGGTGGAGACAGAAAAAATATCCATCTTGCTCCTAAATTGCATGTACAGTATATTCCTGGCGTAGAAACAGGTCCTTAGCCAGAGGGGGTTCGCAGGGTTCAGGTGAACCCCCCTGGCCAAAAATTCTCACCATTTTGAGCACTTCTCAAGTGATTTTAGCCATATTTGGGCCAACATTGTCAAATGTGAACCCCCCCTAAAAATGTTTGAAAATTGAGCCCCCCCTTGGCAAATCCTGGCTACAGGCCTGAGAAACATAAACATAGTAGTACTTACCTCTGACAGCTGCAGGGAAGGGGTTAGCAAACTTTTCAATGTATTCTTCTTCTGCTTCAGCAACATTGGGATCACCACGGAAAATGATCGAAACAGCACCCTGTGAAGAGAGAAAATTTAAATATAAAACAAGTGTATAAACCCTACTAGCTAAGGTATATTCAATTAATGGATATGACTTTATTATACATGTACATGTATTAAGAACTAACACAAGACGGGATATCTCGTATCGTTAGATCGTAAAATATTCTAAGTCCAAGAATGTAAAGGAAAATGGCCATTGTAAAGCTTTTAGAAAATGCATGCTATAAAATTTCACTTCTATACATGTAGATCGTAAAATAATGTAATTTCGCCAAAGCTTTTTGAAAATACATGCCTTAAAAGTTTAAAAGTTCAGTAAGTGGGATGTTTTTAAATTTCTCAACTCGTCATTGTAAAGAAAAAAAGCTTTACTTTAAAATGACATAATTTTTTTCCCCTAAAATCTTGACATATATACTCGTACAGTATGCATTTACATATTGTATGAGTGTAAAAGTCAAGTATCAAAAAATCAGTTTCACAACGAAAATGGCTAATGGATAAATCAAGGGGCTATTTAGTTTCAAGAATATTCAGAAAATTAAAAAAATTTTAAAACAATAGATAACAAGAGATATACTTGCAAAACTAATATTAATATTTGGATTAAAGTTGTGAAATGATGATTTACCTTGGCACCCATAACTGCCACCTCAGCTGTGGGCCAGGCATAATTTGTGTTGCCTCGGAGATGCTTAGAGCTCATGACATCATAGGCACCACCATATGCCTAAAATTCACAATTTTTGAAGATTATTTTAATCATTGAACCATAGTGACTTGCCTAAAATAAAGATGGCAGTTTAATAGCTATCTTCCCTTTATTAAAAAAAGATACACAGACCACTATCGCCATCTTTATGCCTGAGTTGTTCCTATGGTAGCTTATTAGATATATATATATATTGAATATACATGTATAGTACTGCAAAACCCAAGACTTAAGATTACTCATTAGAAAACATCTTACAAATTAAAAAAGTCAATCAGAAGAAGAGTAAAAAAAAGTTTTTACCTTTCTGGTGATGATGGTGATTTTTGGGACAGTTGCCTCAGCGTAAGCAAACAATAACTTAGCACCATGTTTAATGATACCTCCATACTCCTGGGCGGTTCCTGCAATCATATGTGGGGGTTACAATTTATACTTGCAAGGGCAGATATGTGGGGGCTACAATTTACACTTGCAAGGGCAAATGTGTAGAGGTTGCAAACAATTGCTTAGCACCATGTTTTATGATACCTCCATACTCCTGGGCGGTTCCTGCAATCATGTGTAGGGTTACAATTTATACTTGCAAGGGCAGATATGTGGGGGCTACAATTTACACTTGCAAGGGCAAATGTCATGAGGTACATGTAATGTAGCCATTTACATTTACAAGGTTAGATGTGTGGGGGTTACAATTTACACTTGCAAGGGCACATGTGTGGGGTTACAGTTTATATTTGCAGGGGCAGGTGTGAAAAATTGAAGGTCATTTAATATTTTTTTGGAGTGGCAAACCTCACTTTCATTCATCAAATCATTACTCCTGTTGCATCGAGCAAAATAAAGAATATAAAATTCATAGTTCTTTGTAAAGATGGCAGCACGTACCTGGCAGGAATCCTGGGACATCTACAAATGTGATGATTGGGATGTTGAAGGCATCACAGAATCGAACAAATCTAGCCCCCTTCACAGACGAGTTGATGTCAAGACAGCCTACAATCATAGGGATACAATGTAGTAGGCTAACTGAATGTTCCTGGATGAGAAAACCTCATGCTTAACCCATGTAGAACCGCGATAATATATATTCAAAATCGTTCATAATTTAGTTATAATCCTATACCTATTATTTGCACATTTGATAATTGAGAGGGGTGAGATCAATCAATTAAATTTGGTAAATATTTTTTTCTGGCTTACCCCCAACTTGTCACCCTCAAAAAAAAATCAACATTTGATTCAATATCAGGGATCTAATGAAGTCCCTCTTAAATACTTGAAGACACTTTTGGATGGAAATTCTGAATTGAAGTACTTCAAAAAATATTCAAGTCAAGGGAAATGAAGGCAAGCTCTCTGAAGTAAGTCTACTGGACATCCTATTTACCTGCTGCCACTTTAGGCTGGTTGCCTACAAGCCCTACAGTTCTACCATTCATCCTGGCGAAGCCCACAATAATGTTCTTGTATACTACCCCCACACCCCATATATCTTATGATTCATCCCCTATTTACCTGCTGCCACTTTAGGCTGGTTGCCTACAAGCCCTACAGTTCTACCATTCATCCTGGCGAAGCCCACAATAATATTCTGGCACACTACCTCCACACCCCATATATCTTATGATTCATCCCCTATTTACCTGCTGCCACTTTAGGCTGGTTGCCTACAAGCCCTACAGTTCTACCATTCATCCTGGTGAAGCCCACAATAATGTTCTTGTATACTACCCCCTCACCCCATATATCATATGATTCATCCCCTATTTACCTGCTGCGACTTTAGGCTGGTTGCCTACAAGCCCTACAGTTCTACCATTTATCCTGGCGAAGCCCACAATAATGTTCTTGTATACTACCCCCACACCCCATATATCTTATGATTCATCCCCTATTTACCTGCTGCCACTTTAGGCTGGTTGCCTACTAGCCCTACAGTTCTACCATTCATCCTGGCGAAGCCCACAATAATGTTCTTGTATACTACCCCCACACCCCATATATCTTATGATTCATCCCCTATTTACCTGCTGCCACTTTAGGCTGGTTGCCTACAAGCCCTACAGTTCTCCCATTCATCCTGGCAAAGCCCACAATAATGTTCTTGTATACTACCCCCACACCCCATATATCTTATGATTCATCCCCTATTTACCTGCTGCCACTTTAGGCTGGTTGCCTACTAGCCCTACAGTTGTACCATTCATCCTGGCGAAGCCCACAATAATGTTCTTGTATACTACCCCCACACCCCATATATCTTATGATTCATCCCCTTTTTACCTGCTGCCACTTTAGGCTGGTTGCCTACAAGCCCTACAGTTCTACCATTTATCCTTGCGAAGCCCACAATAATGTTCTTGTATACTACCCCCATACCCCATATATCTTATGATTCATCCCCTATTTACCTGCTGCGACTTTAGGCTGGTTGCCTACAAGCCCTACAGTTCTACCGTTCATCCTGGCGAAGCCCACAATAATGTTCTTGTATACTACCCCCATACCCCATATATCTTATGATTCATCCCCTATTTACCTGCTGCAACTTTAGGCTGGTTGCCTACAAGCCCTACAGTTCTCCCATTCATCCTGGCAAAGCCCACAATAATGTTCTTGTATACTACCCCAACACCCCATATATCTTATGATTCATCCCCTATTTACCTGCTGCCACTTTAGGCTGGTTGCCTACAAGCCCTACAGTTCTACCATTCATCCTGACAAAGCCCACAATAATGTTCTTGTATACTACCCACACACCCCATATATCTTATGATTCATCCCCTATTTACCTGCTGCCACTTTAGGCTGGTTGCCTACAAGCCCTACAGTTCTACCATTCATCATGGCGAAGCCCACAATAATGTTCTTGTATACTACCCCCACACCCCATATATCTTATGATTCATCCCCTATTTACCTGCTGCGACTTTAGGCTGGTTGCCTACTAGCCCTACAGTTGTACCATTCATCCTGGCGAAGCCCACAATAATGTTCTTGTATACTACCCACACACCCCATATATCTTATGATTCATCCCCTATTTACCTGCTGCCACTTTAGGCTGGTTGCCTACAAGCCCTACAGTTCTACCGTTCATCCTGGCGAAGCCCACAATAATATTCTTGGCATACCCAGGCATAATCTCAAAGAAATCTCTCTCATCCACAACCTAAAATTAGGATGGAACAAATACTGAATGAAGCTGAAAACATGGAAAATTCATTATATTTATAATATTTTCTGTACAGTAAAACCTGTATATATTTATGAATGCCTATCGAATCTAAACATTTCCCGATGTGAAACCATTTTTGGTCCTATTTTTAATCTGCCATATACTTACATGTTAGAAATAAAAAGCTTGGCACTTGGCAATCTGGACACTTTTGGTTGGTCTCCTCAGCATTTGGATTACACAGGTTTTATTATCATATTTTTCTATGTATATTGTATCCAAGATGAAAACATTTATTTTTCAATCCAAGACAGATTTTACATGATATTATACTATTTTTGATGTTGATCCCTTAACACAATATGTAGTTACCCCAAGCAAGACCTCCTTCATGTCGTAGGCTGCAGTTGTCTCTAGTGGGACTATGGTATCAAGTCCAGGCACCAGGCGATCCCTGAAAATGCACATACATTTTCCTTAAACGTTTGCACACAGTGCTCAGGCCCGTAGCCAGGGGGGGGGGGTTTCGCAGAGTTTGGGCGACCCCCGGCCAAAAATTCTTTCAAAATCATGCAGTTTTTCACCATTTTAAGCATTTCTCAAGTGATTTTAGCCATATTTGGGCCAAAATTGTCAAATGTGAACCCCCCCCTGGAAATTTTTGAAAACTGAACCCCCCTTGGCAAATCCTGGCTACAGGCCTGGTGCTCTTGGTTTTTTCAATTCATTTCATTCCTTAACACACCCTTGGTATACGCAGCTAACGAAAATTGACCGGTACGGGTCAAAAGCTGGACCGGTACGGGTTAACGGTTTTATTTGAATTTAAAATAGCCATAACTTGCTCAATATTGACTTCCTCGTGTCTAATTTGAAATATATGATGCCTCCCGATGCTTTTAAGTACCCCAATTATTTACAGATTTTTAAACGGACCAAAACTCTCTAAATGCGCATTTATGCTCTTTTCTCTCGACAACGACTGTCTCATTTTCACGATAACTTTTATTTAGTACTTCTAACATATAAGATCTATTTTTCCCCATCAAGGTATGATGTAAATGACATGCTATTTACATCTTGTGAGTTTGAATGACGCACGTTTAATTTTATAAAAAATGCCAAACTTTGTGACAAAGAATTTCATCAGCTATTGCCCTGAACCGGTCCGTCTTCTCGCTACAAGCAGATTGCCCCGAACCGGTCCGTCTTCTCACTGCAAGCAGGATGAAATTCTTTGTCACAAAGTTTGGCATTATTTATAAAATCAAACGCGCGTCATTCAAACTCACAAGATGTAAATAGCATGTCATTTACATCATACCTTGATGGGGAAAAATAGATTTTATATGTTAGAAGTACTAAATAAAAGTTATCGTGAAAATGAGACAGTCGTTCTCGAGAGAAAAGAGCATAAATGCGCATTTAGAGAGTTTTGGTCTGTTTAAAAATCTGTAAAAAATTGGGGTACTTAAAAGCATCGGGAGGCATCATATATTTCAAATTAGACACGAGGAAGTCAATATTGAGCAAGTTATGGCTGTTTTAAATTCAAATAAAACCGTTAACCCGTACCGGTCCAGCTTTTGACCCGTACCGGTCAATTTTCGTTAGCTGCGTATACCAAGGGTGTAACAGTTAAACCTTTACAGTAGGAACAGTAATCTATGTTTAGATCTGCTCTCTGAGTGTACAATGAACTTCTGTAAGTGGAACACCTCCTTAGTGGAACACTAGTTTGAAGTACCCAAGGTGTTCAACCTATTCAGATTTTACTGCATTTCTATTATCTATATGTGAAAAGATGGCGAAACTAAAAAGTTCTGAGGTTTTTTGGTTGAATAAAGAGTACAGAAATCAATCAATATTGCAAAGGGTATTTAATTAACATACCAGGGATCATCACAGTGTCTGATGGGGGCAGGATCCTTGTTGCTCAATGGTAAGAAATTGTAAAACTCTCTCATTCTCAGTAGGGCTTCAATGTCATGGTTGAACGCTTCATGGGCAACGCCTGGAATAAGAAATTGTTATTTTTAATAGTTAATTAAATTAGATTAATAATCAATTAATAATAATTAATTAATTATTAATTATTATTATAAATTAATTATTAATTAACTAATAATTTTAATTTAATAATAATTTAATTTAATAGAGCGTCATGGTTGAACGCTTCATGGGCAACGCCTGGAATAAGAAATTGTTAGTTATAAAGTTTAAGGAATAAATAATGCTAGACAATTGAATATGGTGCAATTCAGCAAGACAGATGGAGAGAATGTATGGAAAAGCATGAACTTAAAGGTGTGTTCATTTGTAGAATAATTCATTTCATTATATGAGCTGTTATGAAAGCAATGAAGGACAGATCTCGAGGGATGTATTGGCAGTGTGTCCAATTCAAGAATTCAAACAGGACCATTTTGAGTTTCTCAACCAATCAGAATGCAGCATAGCCATTCCCTAATTCCCCATACATGAACGACCATTCATTTCGCAATCTGCATCTGGGAATGAATTATGTTGTATTGTGATGTCACATGTCACATCTGGGAATGTATTATGTTGTATTGTGATGTCACATGTCACATCTGGGAATGGCAAAAATAACAACAAGTTGGTTATTCATGGACATCAATCCCCAATTCTCTGAGCAATGTTTTCATTTTTTTATGTTTGAATCGGAATATGGTGAAATTCAACACAAGTTGGACAAAATGTCGTACAAAGCACAAACCCAAGGTGAGTGCATTTGTACTGACGTGACATTCTGTCCAACAAGTGTAGAATTTCAACATATTTGCTGCTGCTGATTCAAACATAAAAATGAAAACATTGTTCAGAGAATTGGGGATTGGGGTCCATAAAATAACCAAACAGGCTGTTATTTTCGCAATTCATAGGCATGATGTCACAATATATAGATACCCAAATGATTGAATAGAGCATGGTCATGCATGTATGGAAAAATAGAGAACGTTCTTTGTTGGCTATGCTGCATTCTGATTGGTTGAGAAATTCAGTTTTAGCACGGTCATGTTAGGATTTCCAATATAGAATGATACAGAATTCCTTGTTGCATTTCAAACATGACCACGATTTATTTGGCTCTCTTATCAAAACCAGTAAAAGTAAGTTGCATATTCTATTCACAAATCTTATTTAAGCAAGTGTCAAAATCAATGTTCTGGATAACAACCATTCATCAAAAATATGCCATATATTACAAATTCTATACTGCATCAATTTCATTTCTAGCTGAATATAGAACCTTTTGTGCAGTACATGCTATAACATCAATTTTATTTCTAATTGAATATAGAAAAACAATATGGCTTTGTATAAAAAACCTCCTACCTCATACCCACCTACTCACCTACGTGGAACATGATACAGTCATTGAAGGGTTCAATTTTAAAGATATTTAAATCTCAAAATAGCTAAAATTATTAACATTTCTACAATTCCGGCTTTATTTTATGACAAGACAGATGACAGATCCACAAATAAAGGCATATGGATGCATTTTAATGTGTAATGACCCGAGGGTGCCCCAGGGGATTAAATAATTAACGACCGCGAGCATAGGTCCAACAAGCCAGATAAAGAAATTGAAAGAAAGTGTGCTAAATTCGATGCCCCGAGTGGGAATTGAACCCACCTGGGATGTAGTAGCAACTTGCTATAAAATGCATCTATAATTCATCATAAACTAAGATTTAATAAACTAAGATCTTTAAAATTGAACCCTTCAAAGACTGTATCATGTCCCACGTACGTGGGTAGGTGGGTATGAGGTAGGAGGTTTTTTATACAAAGCCAAACAATATAGCACTTTTTAAAGTAGATAAGTTTATGATATTTATTTGAGGATTCTGGATCCTGGATGGATATGATACAGTATATGCATTTTTCATCTTGAATAATCTCACGAAGCCCCAACTAAAACAAAGCACTTAGATATTCATGCATGCGGGTGACATCTATCTTTGTTTTGAAGCTGAACTGCTTGGGAATAAGGCATAAGCAAATATGTTTTAGCTAATGACATAAGTTTGGAAGAAATCCTTTAGGAGAAAATATATAAACTGTATAAGTTGTATTTATAAATATCCAAGTGGTTAACTTGCAAAATGGTGAAATTTTATCATTTTCCTAATTGTAATTTTCCTAATGACAAGAATCTTCCCATTGGATAACATTATGAAGACAACATTTCCAACATTTAGTTGTCCGATCCTGGCAGAAATTAGCCAGTCGACAAATTAAATGATTAGGCAAAATTACCACTTATATAGAACACTGTTAGTCAAAGGCACACGCCTGCAATTATTTTCACTCCCTGCAATTATTATTATTATTATTATTTATTTCATTGATATAGTTTAAAATACAATTACAATAGCAACAGACTGCAACCTGCAACAGACCATAATTGTGGTGTGAAGACTTACCAGAAATTGTGGTGTGAGTTTTGGCTCCGCCCAGCTCCTCTTGAGTGACATCTTCATTTGTGACACTCTGGAAATACAAAAAGGTAAAATTTGTTAAGGAAGGTAGGGTAAGAGGACGAATCCAGCTAATTATCTAGAACATTCCAGGTCTAAAGGTCTATTTAGGTCAATTTAGATCTACCCAAAGCACAGCTGAAATAGTAATTAAACCAATTAAATCAATTGAATAATGGTTATCGTGAGAACTCTACAGAGGGCTTACAATGCAGAAACCACATTTTTGTACCTGCAAGGAAACCTATTTCAGTTGTCCATTAAGGTTTAATGATACTGATAAAGAAGAAACGGATAATGGTTTATATATGATATACATAAATTAGAATGATTTAACAATGTAAAGTCTCAAGGATTTTGGGACACTAGGACCACCTTAATAGAGGGGGGGGGGGGGTGCCGTTGTTTTTTGACACCCTGTAGTGTATAGATATAGAAAATTCCATTTTTGCAATCAGAAAAAATATTTTGATTGGAAATATTATCAACCATACCCTAGGGAAATTACAAATCCTTATTGGAAAAAAGTAACAACATTACTACAATTACTAAATTGCAGTAACCTTCATGAAATACTTATATTTTCAAAACAATACATTAACAAAGCATTAATATGCAAAATGTCACCACCTGCCATTTTTTACAGTCACCAACCACCAACAAACAAACACCAACTGCTGAACAATGTCCACCAAAAAAATTGGAGGCTAGAACAAAATGACGTAATAATAAACTTGACACTATATTCATCCATTATAACAATATGTCAACATTTCTGGTGGTGTAATAATAATACTGGAAATAAAGCCTTCAATAAAATTTTTGCTAGAGTATACTATAGTACGAGATTTATACATACATAAATAATTAATCTGATGACTCAATCCGAGTAATCTGTGCTATAACAATAAAACAGTATTACTGAACCTACAATGAAAGCCCCTCATAAAAATGACATCATGCTAACTCTAAAATGCCAAATAGAAAAAGAATAGATTAACCGGGATAATGGTAAGCTTCCATGTACATGAGGAAGGACGCAAAAATGGCAAGTGCCTCGACAAAATCTGGAGGTAGCCTCCAATAAAAAGGTCATCATGTTAACTTTAAATTGCCATACTTTAGAGTAAAAAACAGTGAAATCAGCAAGGAATAAAGCAAACAGGCTTGTAAATACAGAGTATAAATAAAACAACACTATATACTGATAGAAATAAAACAACATAAGTAATGAAAGCCCATGGAGACTTTAACAATATGTCACCACTTGTGGTGGTAACAAAATACGATGATCAGATTTTATTGAATACAGTGTAGTTCCAAAAATGCACTGACGCAGATTTTAACAAAGTTAAAAAATATAATGGCGCCACTGTTCTGATTACAAGGTGACACGCAACAGTGAAATATGAGATGTATCCCAACCCAAGTGAGGTTTCCCTGAAAAGACCAATACAGCCAAATTAACAGTAAATGATGTTTTCCTGTTTTCAATTTGGAATCTGTATAATTCTGCGTCAATGTGGTGTGACACGAGAAAATAAATCAATTCAACTGATTTGCTGATTAACTGCAAAAAGCAACTAGTTCAATTGAAGCAATCAACTAATTGTTGGTTTGTGATACAATCGTGTCAAGTTATACATTGGTTAATATGCATCCTCCAAGTGCAGGCTTCTGACATCATCAATTGTGAATAAATAAGTGTCAGTTTGGTCACATGTTCATTTATTCACATCTGCACATCATGATAATCCATGACATCTCATTTCTTCTCAGCCCTGAGATGCCATGATATAATGAGGTTGATTTGGCGATCCAGGAGAGCCCAAAATTGAGGATTTTTGAGATCTTTCATCCCAGCTCATATTTCATTTAATTGGGGTCATTAAACTTGTGTACACGTACCTGTGCTAATATCTGCTGTTAAATACAATGCCTATTATGTAATGTATTGACATTAGGTAAATGATTACATGATAACTATCATACTTATTGATAGTTATAACTCTTCCCATCTGATGTGCTCAGATCACAGAATATGCCTCATAATATCAGAGCATGTTTCAGGTGAAACAGAAAGATGCTATGAGTATCAGAATGACATCTGCAGATTACAGTAAAACCTGTCAGGTGGCACACCTCTAGAAGTGGAACACCTCTGTTAGAAGAACACTTTTAAAGACCAACTGACTTAAATGGACCTCTAGAAGTGGAACACCTCTGTTAGTAGAACACTTTTAAAGACCAACTGACTTAAATGAACCTCTATAAGTGGAACACCTCTGTTAGTAGAACACTTTCAAAGACCAACTGACTTAAATGAACCTCTATAAGTGGAACACCTCTGTTAGTAGAACACTTTCAAAGACCAACTAACTTAAATGAACCTCTATAAGTGGAACACCTCTATTAGTAGAACACTTTCAAAGACCAACTGACTTAAATGAACCTCTATATAAGTGGAACACCTCTGTTAGTAGAACACTTTTCAAAGACCAAATACCAACTGACTTAAATGAACCTCTATAAGTAGAACACCTCTGTTAGTAGAACACTTTTCAAAGACCAAATACCAACTGACTTAAATTAACCTTTATAAGTGTAACACCTTTGTTATTAGAACACATTTCAGAGACCAAATACTAACTGACTTAAATTAACCTTTATATGTACTGTATAACCCCTCTGTTAGTTAGTGGAACACTTTTCAGTCTCAAGACTTACTGACTTAATATCAAAGCTCTATAAGTGGAACCAATCCCATGTAGAACACTTTTCAGAGTCTAAAGACCAACTGGTTTAAAGGCCAACTGCTCACACAGTGACAAAAGAACCAAAATTCCTGTTGTGAGAACATGGTTTTGGTGGAAGGAACGTGGTTAGTGAGGTTGGCACTGACGACCACGTGAGTCGAAGTCTAGGAGCAATGAAAATCCAAATTTTGAGAAATGAAAGATTGGGCTTGAGGCAAGGGTGAAAATACTGGAAATAAGGCTTTCAATAAAATTTAAGCTAGATTTACTGTCATAACAAATGATGTTTTGTTGTTTTCAATTTCGAATACATGAGTTAATGTGATGCGACACAAAAAAATGAAACAATTCCATCGATTTATTCGTAAACAGCTATCAAACATGTAATTAACTAATTTTGGTATGTAATGCAATCATGTCAGATTATATAAACATTAGTTGGGATGAATCCTCCAAATAAAGGTTTGCTAGACATCATCAATTCTGTTCCTTTTGCGTATACAGACCAGCTGCTAACCTAACATGGGCAGTAAATCTTTTTTAAATCAACAAGTTTGCTTATATTAATACAAAAAAAATGACTTTGGCTGAATTAAAAATAAGCATGCAATGTATCTTCGTTACAGGATTAATAATGATAATCTTGGAAGTATTTTTCACACAAAGTTTTGTTGAAAAAATATCAAAGGTACATTTCAGTTCATTTCCCGAGCAAGCAGAAACAGATGAAAAAAGTCTCATAAACTCAAATTTCAGAGCATCGCCAAACCAAGCAGATGCAGAATTCTCAAGACACAAAATTTGGGATTCCTTACAATGTGCCTCTATTGACAAAACCCAAACGCAACCAAAATTGAAACCACAAAATGCAAACTCGAATGTTCCACGTGAGCTTTATCATCTAAACTGGACTAATAGTTTTCTTGATGACTATAAGGTTATAAAATGGCCGAAATGGGATATTTGTGAAGTGCGAGATGAGGAGAACCTTCTTTTGCTGTTTGTCATTAGTCACAAAACTGGTATGTCTAAAAGAACACACCATAAAAGTGGGAAAATCTTATGGGGTCAAGCAGAGATGTTGATATCTCTCGGTCAAAATGTCAAATATGAAGAGAGAATGGTGATCTTGTCTAAGAAAGGGCAATGTGCAGTATTGCAAGTGATTTGAGACTGTCATATCTTTCACCATGAGTACTTTCTGGGCATAAATACAGTAGTTTTATCAAAACAATATATTTTCTTTCAAGTGAAGTCCCCATAATAAATATATCTCAAACAATACGAAAAAATATGATATAATATGTCAAAAATTTTTTCAAAATATTGAACCTATTTAAGATGATCTTCTTTTGGATTTATAACACAAAAAGTGACATTCCTGTAATACAAATGGTGGATTATGAAATTGAAAGAAAACTCCATCAGAAAAAGTGAGCTTACTAGTGATATCATTTCGGTCGCCTCATTGGTCGGAATTCCAAACTCCGAATCCTGTTTGTCCAAATCTAAAATTCCATATATCATCCTATAAACTCAGGACACCAGACATTGTCAACTCTGTTCCTGGTTGAAGGAAAAGAGTTGATGGTGTTTGGAGCTCTCCACTCGGAGGATGTTGAGATCAAGTGATACAATAGTTTTGCTTCACAGTATAACCACTATCTGTTTGTTTAAATAAACACACTATCTGACTTTAGGATATTTTGCTTCCTTATTTCTTGATGATCCATGAACATTCTATTTTGTATTTTAAAACATGTTTGCATTGTCAACTTTTTTTAATTTCAGCTAAACCTATGCGAGATGAAATTAGGAATACATTTGGTTCAGTAAAGAGGTTCTCAAGCTGGCAGATTCGAACCGTATTTCTATATGGCGATGCAAACAATTCAGTCCTTCCCAATGAAATAGATGAAGACATTTTAGTCGGAAATTTTCCCGATGGTTATAAACAAATGACAGAAAAGGATGCATTTGGTTTTAAATGGATTCAATTATACTGTCCGAGAGCAAAGTATGTTTTTCGAATAACACATGATGTGTTTCTGAACCTCACTAAGGTGATAAACTCTCTTCATAACATGCTAAAACGTAACGTCACAAGACTTTATCATGGTGGAACAGTGTTCCATTCCAAGATCCGTCATGATGGTAAATCAAAACTATTATGTCCTGTGAAGGGATGGAAAATCCATTATCCAACGTACATCGCAGGTTGTGGCATACTCTTCAGCCAATCAGTGATACAGGATATGAATTTCTTATTGTGTAAACTACCACTATGTTTCCCCGATGATACATACTTTGGCGCTTTGATGGAAGTACTTGGAGTGTCAGCTACTGGATGTAATAAGTACGTTTTACGATTCTCCGACACACACGAGGCCCGTTTGGGACAAGATCCTAGAAATGCAGCAATGGTTATACCTGGAGGTACAACACTTGTTCATTACTGCAATGTATCACATCCTACTAATGTACAAAAGCTTTTGTGGAAAGATTACTTAAACAGGGGTTCACCTATTTCTCCAAATCCCAATACTCCAAAACCAAATACTCTGAAACCCATTACTCTGAAGCACTGAGCAAAAATTCAAATATAGTTGGATATTCAGTCCGATTCATAATTCCATTGAGAACTTTGAATCAAAAAATTAAGCGATCAAAGGACCACAATGCAACAGTATATGAAAAATAGAAACATATTTATACCACTCTAAGTCCAATTATAGTTGTATAACATGGGTCTATAACAACGATATATAGTGGAGAGTGGTATATCGTCATCGTATACAACTCCTCCGAGCGTATACCACTGTAGAAGTGCATTCTGGGAACTAATGAATAAAAAAATCATGAAAATTTTCATGATTTCCTAGAATCAAGTGACGTCATAAATGGTTCCGGCATGATTTGCTAGAATCAAGTCATGTCATAAATGGTTCGAGATCAACATCAGCATTATTGAGTTGGCTATGGGATATTTTTATGTTTTTTTAATTGTTATGATTGTGTTCGAATCAACTGTAATTGAACTTAGAGTGGCATAATAAGATTATATAATGGTTCATTCTGTATATCGTGCATTTTATACTCTCGTGAGAATATGATATATTCACTCGTTCGCTACGCTCACTTGTGAATATATCATATACTCACTCGAGTATAAACACGATATACAGAAAGAACCATTATATAACCTCATAGTACCTATGACCTAACTTTTGTATATTTTAGATTGGTTTATAACAAAAAATGTGAAATCTCTATAATACAAATAAAAAAATGACCTTTCCGGTCTTTATATACTCGTATGGACCAGTTGATTGCAGACAATGGAGAAGCGAAGAGCAGATGAATTTTGGACCCCTTTTAGGAATATGATAAATTGATACCTTAGTTCAATTTTCTACTTATGTTATAATATACTGATGACAGACATTTTCACTTGTGTACTTTTGTATTTGAGTGGTTATTACACTTAAATCACACTTACATATCCATTAATTGCACTTAAATCACACTTATGTGCCTCTTAATTGCACTTATTCATTCAATAGAAGCCACTTCACCAAATGTACATCCTCCTTTAACCTGTTCTATCTGCCAATCTACCAATTAACAATATTTCTAAATGACACACTTATCCTTGAATAAACATTAATTTTCTAAATGAAATGGCACAATCATCCTTAAATATACAGTGATTTTCTCGTCATCATTTTGAGTTAGTTAATAACATTTTATGTATTGCGATTCATTCAAATTGACAAAAATGGAAAGAGGGGGGGGGGGGGGTTGTGAAGAGGGGCTTGTAAAATATGGAGGATCTAACCTATCCAAATTGTACAATTCTTATGGTATGGCACAATCATACACAAATGGTACACTTCCGATCCTATGGTACATAAATATACAAATGGTACAATTCCTGTGGTACAAATGGTACAATTCATATGCACTAGTGTGACATAAATTGTTTGCTACACAAAACAGTGATTTATCAAAACAGAAAATAGAGTGAAAAAAGAGCGAAAAACAATGTAATCACCTAGGAATAAAGTAGTAATTTCATAGGGAAATAAGTGAAAAACTATCACAAAGATCGCATCTACATAATGGATAAAAATAATTGGGTTCATTGACCTATGGTAGGTCCACACACAATCCAATAAAAACCAATAATTCTTCATCGCAAATTTTTCACAAGGGAGACTTATGAAGGTCTTAGAGGTTTTGTAGAATATTGGATCTTCAGCTTATTCTTGTCTTTCTCTTAGATTACTATTGATTGTCACCTTGACTGTGCAAGCCGTCTGCTGGTGCATATTTCTTGCTTTTTCTATCTAAAATTTGATTAAAGTGTCTGATTTGCTTGCATTTCTATACAATTTGGAGGGTTGACTACATGCCTGTTTATTTTATTTCTTGCTAATTACAGTCTTTTTAAGTACATTTCACATTTCAAAACACCATAATGTATCATTTATTTTCGGGGTGGAGATCTAGGAGCTCAGCACAGTAAACTGTCCATGCATTTTGAGGTCCAGTACACAAAGATATATTCTAAGTAGGTTAAATATACAGAATTTCTGTTTATTTTGATTGTCTATAAATGATGACAAATTAATCTACAAGTTGCATTTTAATATTTACTATCATCAGATTATTAAAATTATATAAACATTTAGTGGAGTTTCAGAATTTATCCTGTCATTCAATTCTGACAACTGGGGACAAAAACGCCGCTAAAAGGAGGGACTCTGTATACCAGTATAATATACCAACAGAAAGGCATTTTTGTTTTGCTTTATGTAGTATTGAGTTGCAGTATGAGACTCACAATCTTTGATTTTCAAATATCTGATAGGTCTAAAATTTAAATTAATGTTTTTTGTGTATTGTTGGACGCCATGCTCCTGTGAGTTAATAGGGAGGTTACGCTACACGTTTTGAAGATGACATATCACCCTCATATATGTGAATGTTTAATATCATCATCCCTAAGGATTACTGTTCCACTCTCAATTACTTTTTTTCGGGGACATAATTACAAGTATTTCCATATACCTCAATACTCGATTACTCAAGTAAATACTACGAAAGGAAGAACTGATCCCTAGAGGACAATAATTCTACGCGCTCACATCCAAATTCTATCAAAAGCACGAAGCTTTAGTTACCCCCTACTATTTGTTTTCTTGCAGTGGTTTCATTAGCAGCAGGCAACAGGTGATTTTCACCGGTTGTTTACACAAAGTTGCCTGTTGTTTTTAGATGTTAAATTTATGATTTCCATAATTTTGCCTGTTGTTTTCTTTATTTAGTTTTTTAGTTTATTTTAGTTGTGAGAAATTCTAGTGAAACCCCTGTCTGGCATCTATATTTGTTAAACTGCATTTTATCTTTTGTTAGTAGTCACGTAATAATTTGTTTTTATAAGCAATCATTTTATTGTTAATATGTTAACTTGACGTAAGTAAATAGGACTCCATGTCATGTCATCTGTTTGTTTGTTTGTTTGTTTGTTTGTTTACAAGTTTTCAGTGTACTAAATAAATAGTTTGTTGAGAACACCTATGGAGCCACAAAAATGTGTTCATTATAGGTAGGTGTTCGCTGTAAAGAGGCAATTTTATACAGATGTCAGAGGAGTATGTGCTGAGAAGAGGTGTTCACTAGACACAGGTGTTCACCAAGACAGGTTTCACTGTACATAATTTGTATTGGCAGTTTAGGAATAATTATTACAAGTAAAGCAAATTATTATTTAAATTGTTAGAAAAACTTGTACACATATGATACAATATGGCATTTACAAATGAAACAAAATCATATGTTCTATCATATGTTGTATATAAAAGAAGCAACTTCTTGTTCTTTATGAAGTTTTTCACCATTCTGAGCACTTTTCACATGATTTTTTGCCAAAAATGTCAAAAAGCTCCCCCTTAGCAAAAGCTCCCCCTTGGTAAAACCTAACTAGGGGCCTGTGATATACAATATGGTTCCATATGGGAGACAAAAGGGTTTACCCAAAGCCTAGAGAAGTGACATCAACCTATTCTAAAGGGTGATCACAATAGAGTGATCCGATAACACTCTACCACTAATGAGTACCAACATGCACCCTTACTAATCAATATAACACTTTCACCAGATATTTTATCAAGTCTGGTGCGGAGGGATGCGATGGGAGGGATGGGATCTTGAAATGTGAACACCCATTTTTGACAAGTTCCCGTAGGGTTCAGATTAGACAGGTGTTACTGTATAGTCTGTCATAATATTATCTTCACTATTACTGAAATCTAGTACTTCTTCGACTATCTGGTCGTGTATATGGAGCATCTTGACTTACCATGAGGAAAATATCATGACGGTTATATTTTGAAATGCAAAATAGACTAGAAAAGAGTGGAATAAGCAAGGAATAAAGTAAACAGGCATGTAGTCAACACTCTAAATTGTATAGAAATGTAAGAAAATCAGGCAGTTCTTTCAAATTCTAAAGAGAAAAAGCATGAAATAGACATGATAAGGGGAAATTTTGGCAAGGTCCCGCAATTTGTTGTGATAAAACATCCAGGTATTCTTAGTATAAACTTCTGTTTAAATCCCTTGATTTTTGTTGGATATAAAGGGCTTATGTATCAGGTGGTTTATGATATAAAGTTTATCCCAGGGGATATATCTGTATCTTCCCAAAGGGACCTCATACTTGAAGGGTCCTCCTCAAAAGTTTCTCAATAAAATGCTATTTTCAAAAGGATGCTTTAATTAAATCCCAATATGATATTAGAATAAGTTCCAAATGAGATTTTAATTTCAAAATATGCATTTGATGATAATTAGAATAAAAATGCTCTTTGTACCTGAAAAAATTTAATTTTGAAAACCACACATCCTTGCCTAAATTTTGTCTGTAAACATTTACCAATCAACTTATTTTTGTCTTTAAATTATGAATGCACAGTGCTTATTTTCTCGCAATTCTGCATACTTTAGTGCACTTACTACATGCCTGCTTACTTTAATCCTTGCTAATTCCACCCCATTTCACTCTATTTTACATTTTTAAACATGACTCCCCCCCCCCCCTTCTGTGACATTTATTTTCAATCCTAATTTTCTGCAAGGTTAGTTCCACACTTAAGCTCTTTGAGGATTAGATTTGCCTGCTATAGTGTGCCAATACTCCCTGGCAAGAAAATTGCACAAATATCCAAACCGTCATGTTTTAAAATGCAAAATATTAAATGATTATGAGGAATTAGCAAGGAATGAAATAAACAAATGTGAAGTCAACACCCTAAATTGTACAAAAATGCCAAAAAGTCATACACTTCTTTCAAATTTTAGAGAGAAACTGCGGAAAATGTTGAGTGATCGTATTGATATAATAATCAGTGGCCTTTTATATTAGCAGACGTGTAATATGGTGTATGATCAACTAAGAAGCAGCCAAATAAGACAAAATCTTATTGGAAAAACACGGAAATCTTAAGAATATGGGAACATCAATATAGAACACAAGGTCATGCTACTTATGCATCAAAGCTTCCACAAGCAAATGCTAATCTTAGTACCTAGGACATGTTGACCCTCGTTAATTTGACGGAGGATTACAACCAAAGAATACCTCAAACATGCAGCTTGTAAACCACATATCTATGTTTGTCATACACTTTAAGACGGATGTTAAAAAGATGCAACATGGGAATTCAATAAATGTGATCAGATTTGCAAAGAACGGCTATGTTCATGCGTCGGACATCAATATAATCAATTATCGAAAACAATCCAAATGACACCTATAAGACAGAAAACACATCAAATAATCGAGCAATCTTTGGGAATTAGTCTGCAATCACAGACCAAGCTATGACTCAAAGGGCAAACAGGAAGAAAATAGATAACTATATGCTCCGAGGGATCTACTGTAAGTATTACTCTTTTAAAGAGTTTGACTAATTATTCACTCTTAAAATCAGTAATGATTCTTTGATATTGAGTCTAAATTAAATCACAAGTAGTGGCACAGATATTATATTTGCTGATTATAGGTATGGTAGAAGTTTTATT